AGGACTGCAGTACTTGTAAAACTGCCAGGTGCAGTGAATGCCTAACATGGAATATGGAAGTATTCTGGGCTGTCACACAAAACACCTGATTTTGAGTCCCAGTTAATTTTCAGTCCCGTAGGGACAATCTTTTTCCAATTACAGAATTTAAATTGTATACTGTTTCAACTTTTGTTAATTTTATATATTATATATAATATATAATATAAGCATTTGCATATTATAGTATGTTAAATATTATATTAATATGAAAAAAAATAAAGTAGGGGTGTTCTACAAAGAAAAAATACTCATATTAAAAATATGTTATATATAATAATATTATATATTAAAATATTATTATAGTTTGCTGTGAATGTGATGTACTTTTTGAGGTTTACACCACATTAAAATAATTGTATTCTGTCTGAATGTTAATTTCAGCAACAAGTTATTAGGAAACAATTTTATTTCAGATTTTGATTAAATCCCTTTAAATGTATGATCCTAATGCAGAGGTTATTAACCCTACTGTATTTCGCAACTGCTTATGAGATCTCGCTGGGTGTTTTGGTTTGGTAGCGTCTTCCCGCAAATACAAAGGTTGATTTACAAATATGTGCTTGAAGAAGCCTATCCTATACAAGAGTAGTATAAAAATCTCACATTCTGTAGGATTTTATAAAGTTCTAATTAGGAGATAAACTTAACTTTAGGAGATAAGATTAACTTTTTTTCCCCTCATTGCAGTATATACAGTAGTCTAACAATGTGACTTAACAAAATGTAAGACAAATGAATTAATACAAATGTATATTTTATTTATTATAAAACCACTAACATCAACATATCATATGTATATTTTTTTGTATGTATATTGCCCATCTGTAAGAAGGGAGACAATACTGAACCAATTATAGACTTAAAATCTGACTTCAATTATATGTAACGTTATGGAAACAGGTATAAGCACTAAATTGGAGGATCACATACAGTACATGGAAAAATAGTCAACAGGGATTTAGAAAAGGTAGGTCCTTCTTAACCAACCCATTAGTTCTTTGAACAAAAAATAACAGTAATGAACACACAGAGAGTACAATGTAATATGTGTTTTTGCATTTTTACAAGACTTTTAATAAAGTTCCATAGCAAGATTAATTCTCATGTCCAGGCAGAGATATTTGTTTTTGAATTGAATATTAGTTAAAAATTAAAAATGAGTAGAGATATTCTATGAGTGATGATGTAATTATTGGAGTACCACAGGGATCTGTATTAGGACCACTCTTCTTCATTTATGCCTGTTTAATTTTAATTTATAGCAGATTTCTTGTACAGTTAGTAAACTCACCAAGTTTCTACATTAAACAAAATTAGGTGGATTAGCAAACACTAGAGGCAGCAAATGCAATTCAAAAAGATTTATTAATTAAATGTTAATGGGCAAACACCTGGCAGATGAAGTTTCACGTGAACAGGGTTCAAGTTTAGAGTTTTGTGTGTTGGTATGTGAAACATACACTATAAGTACAATATGTGAAACACTGACCTTTTCTATTGTTAAAAAGATCAGGTGTTTGTATTAATATCCATATTTTATATCTTCTACATACTGTACTATGGGCAAGTGATAAACAATGCAAACTTGATTATAGTATAAGGTGTAGTAAAAAATATATAGTAAAAAGTGTATTTAATAATTCTGACACCAGAATTGTTGTCCCCCAGATTTTCTTTGCAAAGATGTGTATGAGTGTAAAGCCATGTTTTGAATTATTATTCCATTCCTCGTTACCACCTGCTCCCCCTACAAATCCTAACCCCACTGGCAATATTTTGAGTCCCGCAGGACTCCCCCCCACCCCCTCACTCAGCTCTTAATAGAGAAACAAAATTTGATACAGTATGTCAGTATTGTAGGCATAACGAAAAAGTAGATGAAGCCATTAATGAGACATTATGAAACATTTGATTGAGCTGATACTTATTGAAATATCTAGTTTTAACAGTCCGTTACAGATCTCAAAAAGATCGTCGGGGTGATGCATTATGTAAAAGCCTGTAAACCAGAGTTTGGCAACCTATGGCCCATGATTAATGACACACAGTGGGATTTTAATAGGATGTGTAATTGAACGTGGGTCATGGAATAAAAGTCTAATAGGCCATGAGGAAATTAAATTTAAAAAATAATATCTGCGCTACACTGTTCAGTAATTTTCTACAACATGCTACCCCAAAGAAAGCTCTTTGGGAAGAAAAAGGATTTGTTTGTTTGTTTGGCTGCATTATTTTTAGTGGGAGTTTCTATTTGGAATCACTGTCACCGATAACATTTATCACACTGATGTGTAAATTCAAATATTTTGGACAAAATGGCTGCTCCCAAGAAACAAAGTTAGATGTATGCTCATTTTAGCACTTTTGGAGAGATGAACGTAGATTTGTCAACATACTGTTTGACCATGCTGTTTCTCAACAGACCATGCTGTTTGTGTTCAATCTTGTGAGAGTGTTTTCTGTCACACATCAAGTGTCCGATGACATTTTCAGACAAAATGCATTAATAGAAGTGCTGGCTCGTACTTATGTTTTATGTTATTTGATGTGTTTGCAGTTGCTGCTGCTGTTCTATTATTTATTGCTGCTGCTGTTCTATTATTTATGTTTTGGTGTTTTCTCAATGTATTTTGTATTGGAGCACGCATGCAAATAAGGATTTTATTTGCACTTGTTCATGGGACAAATAAACTAAACTTAACCAAAAAAATAAAACATATTCTATAGGCTCTATAACTAGTGTAACTACTGTATAATGTCCCGATCGTCATCCCTCCTCTTAAGGGCGCTCCGACCCTTTCGTATTTTAGTGTATTATGTGCACCTGCCCCCTGTTTTGCCTGTTATTATTTAAGACCAGCACTCCCACTATTCCTCGCTCAGCACGGGGAGATGGACGCCCGGAAGCCCGCCTATCAGCAGGTCCAGGAGAGACCCGACGGCATAGACTTCATCACAGCGTCCTGGCCATCTGGGCTCGGAGCGCCTAGCCTTGTTAGTTTCTTTTAACTTCTTGTTCCGGTTCCGGATCCCGTTCCGGATTTTAACTTTGTCTGTCTTGGATGGTTCTCCCGGCATCTGGATCTTGGAATGCACCCCAAATTTCCCCCTTGGACTGTTTGGACTTGTTTGCCTGCGCCACACCCCCCGAGCACCGGATCACTGTCCCCTGTCTGTCAACCCATCATGATCCTAATCATGTTTTCCTTGTGGTCCTTCTCCACCTACTTCCAGATTATACCATCTGCAAAGGGTCCTAAACTACGCTTCACGGGAGCCTGGACCGGCTTCCGTTACATATAAGGTTTGTGAAGGGGTGGGATGGAAACTGGATGGAGACAGCTATTCTCTGTTTAACAGTTTGTTTTAACGGTCACATTTTCCACACATCAGTCAGTGTTGGCATTTGGCAAACAGGAAAGTGTTTTTTTAACATAAACCTATGTACAACTGAAATAGTGAATTCTATGTAACTTAAAAATAATTTAAACTGTTTTTTGTGTCTTTAGCACCTGACTGCATTCCAAGCATCTGATCGAACTGGCATAACCACAGAAGAAGCAAGCTGCTCCTACAACCAGGAATAAACACCAAACATGTGGCTGCTCCATCGCCTTAGGAATCCTCTTTCGCTGGTAAATTGATTCAACATTACGTTCGCACTCATAAACACCCGCTACATGATTTCAACATTCAACAAACAAATGCTACATGATTTCATCATTGATGGATGCGTTGACATTCTGTGCATGACTGAGACCTGGTAACAGGTTTTACTCATGTAGACTAACCACGCTCTATGCTGTTGGTCACTGTGACAGTTTGGCCTCTAGTTTACAGGCAAGATACAGTATAATTATCAAGGAGCTCTCTATTTGCTTTGTCACCTCCTTTGAATACCTTGCCTTTAAATTCTGTGGCCCCAAGTCATTGTTGATTCTACTTGTTTATCGTCCTCCTAAGTCTTTTTATCTGTACTGCTGACAACACTAAGCACTATAACCTGTCCAGTGTTAATGCTTGGTGATTTTAACTTTCATGTTGACTCCTTAAGCTGTTAGTTTGCTTCACATTTTTTGTCCACCCTGGATTGCTTTGATCTCACTCAATCTGTGAATTTTCCCATCCATGTCTATGTTCACACCCTTGATCCTGTTTGTGCTTCTGTCCAGAATGCGTCTAAAATTTGCAATATTCATGACATTGACCTACAAATTACTCATCACAAAGCTGTACAGTATTATTTGATGTCTGTATTCCTCTTTCCTAAGTGAGATGTAAATGCAAAATTTGTTTAGAAACCTGAAATCTGTGAACCATTCTGATTGTACTTGTACAATTGTACTCATGTTGTACTTAGTTTTCCCCTTTAACAAGACTGGTCATCTACGACAGTTGACATACTCAGTAATTTAAACTGTTTTGATTAGTACTTTGGATAAACTCCCACCCTTTAAAACTCACTCAGTTTTCTTCAAGAGCTCCTCTCCATGGTAAACACCTAAACCACTGATCTGCCAAGCAATCACCAGCACTGCCTCACACTGTGGTGAAATGTGGAGTGGTTTATGTAACAGTAACAGTATAATTTGTATAATTAATTAGTTTCCTCAATTTGTACTCTACATTGTGGAAGTTGGTTCCTAGTTGTATGTTATCAGTGCACCCTTTCCAAATTGAAAATATTTTCTCAGGACTTAATCAACATGGATTTGAAAGAAAAAAGCCCTATATCACCTTGGAGCCCTTAATATCTAACAACCTACTGCATCAGGAGTGTAAATTTGTCCCACCTGCAAAAGATATAAGGATGTCCCCCTACCTAATCCCAATCCTGCTTCAGGACACCTCAAAGTTAATTAGACATTATTGTTTTTATTGAGTTGAATTCTCAGTGTCATCTGTTCCATCAGTTCCACTTCACTGAGTGACTCTAGAGAAGAGGGTAAATTAAAGAAGAGACAGTAGCTGAATGGACTGGAGTGAGCCAAAAAGGAGGAGGACGAGAATGTTACTCCAGTGTTTCTAATTTACAGTTGGGATCCTTCAGAGCTGCAGTCAACAGTTTCATTCCTGAATCCCCCAGGTCATTGTAACTGAGATCCAGCTTTCGCAGACTGGAGTGTCGTGACTGAATAACAGAGGCCACATCCTTACAACATTTCTTTGTTAGTCCACAGCTCAGCATCCTGCAGAGAAAAAATGAAAAAAGCATAGCTGAACATCTGCAGAACCCATTCACAGCTTTCTTTCCCAAGATCAAGCTTCAGGTCACTTAAACTAACCGAATGGAACCAAAGATCTGTCTTTATCCAAATCAGGGTTGCAGGAGAGCTGGAGCCTATTCCAGCAAGCAACAAGCACAAGGACAGGATACACCCTGGGCAGGATGCCATTCCATTGCAGGGCACACAGACACAAACACGCACATGGTAACATGCAGCCAATTGTTTCAGAAGACAGTCGTCTGACCAGTATGCAAACTCCACACAGACAGCGTCCCAGGTCTGTAATTGAATCCAGAGGCCCTGTGCTGTGAGGCTGCGATTCTAACCATTGCGCCACCATGCCTCTTGTAACACAAAGGAAAACAAATATTCAAACTTATTCACACAGTAACTAAGATTTAACTATGAACAAACCATTCCTTATAACTCTTGCATAATCTTCTTAATGAATGTGATTAGTGAACATAGGGACAGGTAACTACAGGAAGCAGCAACATGGCTCAAAACCCAGACCCAGAACAGCTGTCTTGAGCCAAGATGTCGGCCTGTTATTTGAGAAAAGCTGCAGAATTAAGGAAGGAGAGTGTGAGATTGAGACAACATAGAGATGTTGGTCTGGACCAGATTTCCCGGAATGAACTGCTGCCCAGAGTACATATGCATATTTACCAGAAGATTCTGACTGTGTTTGATTTATTTTTTAAGTGATTTTAACAAGTGAGTGTCTTAGAGAGAGTGATTAGGTACTCTGTTTTGTAGATTGGGAAGCTCCATGAAGATGCCCTCTTTGTGCTCCCTCCCAGCACAAAGATTTGTGCTATTTAGATCTGTTATTTGTTAGATCTCATTTGTTAGTGCTCCATTAATCTCATTGGAAATAATGTCCAAGCTCCATTCATTCCTGGTATAGGACCTTATATTTTTGAGGGAATCACGTGACTATCTACTAGAAACTTTACCATTAGGAAAACTCTCTAGCAAAAACAATTGATGAAGGATCAACTTCACTGAGATGACCTTGGGTTTAATTCCTGGGATGCTATCTTTATGGAGTTTGCATGGGTTTTCTCCGGGTGCTGCAGTTTCCTCCCACAGTCCAACACATACTAGTAGGTTAATTGGCTTCTGGGAAAGTTTGTTATGTGTGTTTTTGTCTGTGTGTGTCCGGTGATGCCCTGGCGTCCCATCCAGGGTGTACTTTGTCTTGCTCCCATTGCTGGGACAGCCTCTGGCTCCCCTGTGACCTTGTATTAAATGCAGAGTTAAAACAATGGATAGATGGGTCGATGTATAATTGTAAAAATGTTCCATTACAGGTATTCTCCTCAAAATGTATATAGGCAACCAAATATTTTCAAATATAACTGATTTCTGTATTTGTGATTGAAGCATTTCCAGTGTTATTTTGCAGATTTGTTAGAACAACTTAAGTCAACTTATTACTACAGTGCCAGTAACAAAACACATAATTTTTCATATTTATGTACTTGCATTGCAAAAAATGTTAGTACAACACTGGTCTTTTAACACAGCAATTTGTTTATTTTAACCTTTTTAAATATATAGCTCAAAGAGGTTAAAAGTTTAAGCATCTTTTGAACAGCACATTTATTTGAAAAGGTTATGATGAGAAACTCCCTAGATTACTATTTTCATTTATAAAAAAAATACTAACACAGCTACAATGTATTACATTGTATGACATACTAGTTTTTTTTAATAATCTGTTTTTTCCCCAATGTTTCTTTTTAAGGCTAAAATTATTTTAAAAAGAACAAATGTAATGTGGTTACATTAAGGTATTGGAGACAGATTTATTTTTACTATTCAAACAAACGCACAAGAAATGCTATTATTCAAATGCAAAACATCATTACCCATCACTCCCCCAGACAGGACATTTGAGAAAGCAAATCGCAGGTATTGTTATCTTCATAAGAACATCTTCATATTCAGTAATTAAGAACATCCGGACTAGGTCCAGATACTGTAGGTGGAAAAACTATCCGGAGTGTGTTACTAACAGTAAAATTCCTTGTAGACAGTCACGTGAATCCCTATAAAATACAATAAGAAGCTGTATCTTAGGAATGAAAGCAGCTCGGATGCTACTTTCTACGGCACAAAACAACACCAATGAATGTGGTGGGTTTCATTGTTTGTGCTGTTTGTAGAGGGACTATCTTCATGGAGCTTTAACATTATATTAGCACGGTGTAAGAGCAAGGCTTAATTAAGTACAGGAATTCAGTTTGCTGTTCCCTTGCCAGTCTCTCTCTCCCTTATCTCAAGTGGTGCTTGATACAGAAAGGCTATTCCATTTGGTTCACAATTAAGATGTTTTTCTAGCT